GTGTATGCTTCAAATACCTCAATATTCTCTTTGTAGCTTTCAAATGACTTTCTCTTGGTGAGGCTTGAAATCTTGCACACATGCATACACTAAACATGACATCCGGACTTGATGCGGTCACATAGAGTAGGCTTCCAATCATAGGCGGATACAATTTTTGATCCACCATATTGCCACTTGCATCACCATCCAAGTTGCCATTTGTTCTATTGGTGTACTAATGGCTTGGCTACCACTCATGCCAAACTTCTTGATCATGTCCTTGATATACTTGCCTTGACACACAAATGTACCATTCTTCAATTGCTTGAATTTGAAGACCAAGGAAGTAACTTAACTCTCCAATTATGGACATCTCAAACTCATTAGCCATCATCTTTCCAAATTCTTCACAAAAATCTTGATTGGTTGATCCAAATATGATGTCATCAACATAGATTTGCAACACAAATAAATTTTTTCCAATCTTCTTGATGAAAAGAGTGGTGTCAACCTTGCCCATCATGAACCCTTTAGAGAGTAGGAAGTCCCTCAATCTCTCATACCATGCTCTAGGTACTTGCTTTAAGCCATACAATGCCTTCTTCAACTTGTACACAAGGTCGGGCTTTTCGTCATCTTCAAAACCAGGAGGTTGCTCAACATATACTTTTTCATTTATGTAACCATTGAGAAATGCACTCTTGACATCCATTTGATAGAGTTTGATGTTGTGGGCACAAGCATAGGCTAGCAAGATTCTAAATGCTTCCAATCTAGCAACCGAAGCATATGTTTCTCCAAAGTCAAGACCTTCAACTTGTGTATATCCTTGTGCTATCAATCTTGCTTTGTTCCTTACTACCATCCCATCTTGATCTTGCTTGTTTCTAAAGACCCATTTGGTTCCAATCACATTGTGTCCCTTTGGTCTCTCTACTAATTCTCATACTTAATTTCTTGTGAAGTTATTCAATTCTTCATGCATAGCATTCACCCAATCAACATCCTTCAATGCTTCATCTATCTTCTTTGGTTTAATGGATGACACAAATGAGAAATGCTGACAAAATGAAGCCAATCTTGATCTAGTTTGTACACCTTTTGAAATATCACCAATGATAGTGTCCAATGGATGATCCCTTGCAATATTGGTTGGTTGGAGTATTGGAACTTGATTGCTTGAACTTGCTTATCATTGGATTGAGATGATGTACTAGCCACTTAATTTTGTTCATTGTCATGAGAGCCACTTGTACTAGCGTGATTTGTATCATCTTGCACATTTGAGTTAGAGAGCACTTGCACTTGATCATCTTCATCATCATTCACTTGCCTAAGCCTCAATTCACCAACATCGATGTTCTTCATGGCATTTGAGAGTTGAATGCCTCTAACATCTTCTAAGTTCTCATTTTCTTCTTGTGAACCCTTGGTTTCATCAAATTCAACATCATGAACTTCCTCAAGAGTACCACTATCCAAATTCCAAACCCTATATGCTTTGCTAGTAGTTGAGTATCCAAGTAGGACTTCTTCCTCACATTTCTTATCAAACTTGCCCAATCTAGTGCCTTTCTTCAAGATATAGCATTTGCAACCAAAGACCCAAAAATATGCAATGTTGGGCTTTCTACCATTCAAGAGCTCATATGGTGTCTTCTCTTTCAATGGGTGACAATAGAGGCGGTTGCTATAATAGCAAGCCGTGTTGATAGCTTCGGCCCAAAAAGATTGACTCGCATTGTACTCACTAAGCATAGACCTTGCCATATTAATGAGTGTTCTATTCTTTCTCTCAACAAGGCCATTTGATTGTAGGGTGTACTTGGCCGAGAATTGATGTCTAATTCCAAATTCATCACACAACTCATCAATTCTAGTGTTCTTGGACTCACTACCATTGTGACTTCTAACTCTCTTGATGGTTGTTTCAAACTCATTGTGAATGCCTTTGACAAATGACTTGAATGTTGCAAACACATCACTTTTGTCCACTAGAATGAATACCCAAGTGTATCTAATATAATCATCCACTATCATAAAGCCATATTTATTACCGCCAATGCTAGTGTATTGAGTTGGCCCAAACAAATCCATGTGCAATAACTCAAATGCTTTACTAGTGCTCATCATGCTTTTCTTAGGATGGGTGTTTCCAACTTGTTTTCCTGCCTGACAAGAGCTACAAAGCTTATCTTTCTCAAACACTACTTCTTTCAAGCCTCTAACCAAGTCATGCTTAACCAATCTATTCAATTGTTTCATTCCAACATGACCAAGCCTTCTATGCCATAACCAACCCATGCTAGACTTAGTGAACAAACATGTAGATAATTTAGCTTCACTAGCACTGAAATTAACCAAGTATAGATTCTCATATCTAAAGCCTTCGAAGATCAAGTTAGAGCCATCTACACTTATGATCTCTACATCATCTACCCCAAATATGCATTTGAATCCAAGATCACACAATTGAGCCACGAATAGCAAATTGAAGTTCAAGCTCTCTACAAGTAACACATTGGAAATGCTCATGTCATTGGATATTGCAATCTTACCAAGCCCTTTGACCTTGCCTTTGCCGTTGTCACCAAATGTGATACTATCATAACCATCATTGCCACTGGTGTTGATTGAGTTGAACATTCTTGCATCACCGGTCATATGTTGAGTGCACCCACTATCAAGAAACCAATGCCTTCCTTCGGCATTTTAATTGACCTACAAAAGAAGATCAATTCTTTTTAGCTACCCAAACTTGCTTGGGTCCTTGAAGGTTAGTCACTAATCTCTTTAGTACCCAAATGGCTTTCTTTTTTGAGACCATCCATGGTGCACCAATGAACTTAGCCTTCACACCATTTGTACCCTTAGTAAGCACATAGAAAGAATTAATCTTAATTGAGGATACATTAGCATTTTTGCTTTTGTTCTTGCACTCGTCCTCTTTATGACCAACTTGCTTGCAACTAGTGCAAAACCGACCATTATTCTTCACAAAACTAGTCTTGTGAGGAGCAAAGGCCGCCTTGCCTTTCTTAGGGCTGGCGGGGAGGCGCATGGGGTGGCGGGGCCGGCGACGAAGCGCATGGGGTGGCCGCGGGGAAGCCACGGTGGAGAGAGTGACGTGCCCTGGCGACGGAAGAAGAAGAAAAGCGAAGACAAAAAAGAATAGAAACCAATTGGTATGTTTGTGTAATCAGTGGCAGTGGTGAGTAATTTCCTCCAACTCCAACAATTTGGGTTTGGTGGAGCACCCCTTGAGAAGATCCACCAAATTGGTGAATCTGGCCCTCAGATCCACCTTTTTGGTGAATCCAGAATTGGTGAAGCTAGACCGTTTGGCAAACTTTTTGTGAAGTAGAGTTGTTTTGCTGCATCTGGAGCTGGGGGAGCTGTCCCAAACAGGCCCTAAGTCATGATCTTAATACGGTAGTTTATATATGGAAACTATTATAGTGCTGGTTTTTTTCCTTTTTGCCAAGAAAAAACAACGTTAATGCTACCATTAAAACGGCCTGATAGCCAGATGCCTTGCTCCACTCACTGTTGCATGCGCTGCTCGCCTAAAAAATTAAAATCAACTCCCGCACGCCTCGCTCCCGCACGCGGGACTCAACTCCCCTCCCGCATGTGGCGCTCGACTGCCAGCCCTACCATATGTGATGCGCGGCTGCCGTCTCCTGGTTTCGGCGCACGGCTGCCTGCGAGTTGCGATGGTGCGGTTGCCGGTCCTGCTAGGCACGCAGCCGCCTGCGAGTCACGGCGCTCGGCTACCGACCCTTCCAGGCGCAGCGCAAGGCCGCTGCCTCCCTGCCCTGTCGCGCAGCCATCGCCGAGCCGCTGCCTAGAAGCACCGCCGGGCCGCTGCCTCCGGCGAACTCCACATGCCGACATGCCTTCATTCTCCCAAGCACAAGGAGATGTTTGCACTAAAACAACATGTTGCAAGCGTTTGTTTCAAGTGTTTTAAATGTATGTTGCAAGTGTTTCCGGATGTTGCAAAAATATATCGGGATGTTGCACATGTTGCAATGGTTGTACATGTATGTTGCAAGCTCATGTTCTTAATGTTTCATCTGTTTTTTTCTAACATTTGTTGCAAATGTGTTTATCTGGATGTTGCATATGTTTTCACACATATGATGCAAGTGTTTTATCTAGATATTGCGTATATTTACAATAGTTTCAGGTGTTTTTGCAAGTGTTTCAGACGTATGTCTCATTTGTTTTCAGACATATATTGCAATTATTGCATCTGGATGTTTCAAAACTAGATCGAGTGTTGCATCTCCCTCCTCGCCTTTTCTGCTGTCTCACCTAGGTGTTAGGCATGGGAAGGCAGAGGCGGTCCCCACTGGCACGGGTAGGCCTCACATGCTTGCTGGCGGGCGCAGCAGGCGAGACGTGAGCGAGCAAGCACAGGACGCAGGACAGGGGGCAGCGGCGTGGGGCATCCAGACGGGGGGCTAGCGTCCGGACGTCCAGGCACTAGCCACGCTCAAAAAAAGAATTTGAGAGTTGTTTTAAGGATCCTTTTAGATGCAGTTGAACTCTGAATGCTTAACGTCACATCTACCTTTCAAATGCAGTCACTACTTATTAGCCGCGTCCCCATCATCTGCACAACGTGGATTATGTAACATGACTTCTCTCAGCCGTGGAACATCAGGTGAAGAGGGCAGAATGCAAGCTTTGGCAAGGAATTTGGAAAATTAATCCGAATTCATCGCTATCCATGTAAGTCGAGCACAGCATTGTCATTTGTCGGTACTATCTGTTGAGCACTCCCTCACAACAGCATCTGAATCACGACCAAAATGCACTCGATGGCATTGGAACATTGGAAGAGAACGCACAGCCTAGTGCATGGTGCTAGATATATATTCTATGTACAATGGACAATGTCATACACTCTGCAACTCAGATATGAAAAAGAAGATTGCCGTAATGGCAATATTTTAATAGTATAAAACTACAAACAAAGCGTGTGCATATGTTTTGTTAGGCTCCAGTTATCACATCTTCCTTAGGTTGTCAAGCCGCGCCTGCAGGTCATCATCTATGCCACCATCTGGCCCACCTGCAGCTTCAGCTTGTGCAGGAACTTTCCCCACTGCGACCGGCTTAGCAACTGCAGTCGCAGGAGCCTTGACAAGCTGGGTATAGAGAAGAATCAACATTGCACATCAGTATTATCCATCTGCAAGGCAGCGTATTCTACATCAGGATCAACAGAAGAACGTGGCGATGTTTTTACCTCTGAGTTGACATCAATGCCAATTTCGTCAAGGACTTGGTTGACAAGCTCCTCTGTTTCTTCCTCCTCCTCGTCACCATCCAAGGCATCATCAATGGCATCGTTCATCACTTCACTAACCATCTCCATCTTCTCATTTTGCATCTCAAACTCCCGCATTATCTTCTGCAGGGCAGGCAGGTTCATCTGTCTGTTCATTTGTCCCATGGCTTTTGTCACACCCTTCATGGCTTCACCCATTGCTTGTGTTGATTTCAGAGTCTACAAAATTGGGCACCAGTCAATACAAGATTTTAAAGAGGACTCTCATGCATAACAGGAACATCTGAATTTTTTACAGTACAGTGAACCTTGCTAGGAAAGATTGAGCCAACTAAGATTGTAATCATTCATCACAATTCGCACACAGTTATCTGACTATCTCAAAATAAACATAATTCTTAAAGTTGAGTTACCTGAATACGAAGAGATACACCTTGTAGCTGGGACTTGAGGGCATAAAATTTTGTGATTTGGTGTCTTGTGCGGATAAGGTCCTTAGCCATAATTTTCACAGCTCCCTGCGAACAATTTACAGCATATCAAAATATAATACATGAGCATGTAAAGCAATTCCAACCAAAAAAAAAATAGCACGTTCTTTTCAACATGTAAAGTTTTGAAAAAGTTCAAATCTAATTTACTACATATAATACATTTATACATGTTCAAACCTAAACTAAGAGCAATTGCAGCCAAAAAACAGAGCATATCATACATCCATTGAACAAAAACCACAAGGTTCTGAACAAACCAAATCAGCCAGCTTATCCTATCAGGAGGTATAACCAACTGCCTTTACACTGAACTAGACAGTTTGAGCATGATTGAATTCGTGCCAAAAATCGCACATTAAGATGCCTTAATAAGCCCCCAACACACCAACCATCAGATACAATACAATGCCATATTTCCTCAAATTTCCAGAAGTTGGTCCGAGCAATACTAAAAACATTTAAGCAGAAACACAAGATACAACCCTGGCAATAGGCTACCCAGCGAAGAATGATATTCGTATGACCTTACTTATTGCATTATTAATATATGACTGGGCATGTCCTTATTAAACTTAAAGCTTCCAAGTTGGAGCTGAACCACAGATAACAAATTCACGGTGCTAAATTAAGTACTATTCCCAAAGAAAATGCCATCAAATCGGATCAAACAAGAGAGAAGGTGCTTCGACTTTATTTCTTCGCACATACCATCTGTCCCTGCTTGGCCACCTTCTTGATCTCGTTGATGAGCTTCTTCTCCTGGGCCTGCAGGCCCTGCCTCTCCCTCTCAATCTCCCTGATGGACTTGTCCAGCATCCGCTTGTTCTCCCGCAGCAGCTCTGTTGTTAACCAACCGAGGAAATGTAAACGGACATCCTGACACGCAAGTCGTTGGCGAAAAAAAAGAGAGTAAACGGACATCCTGAGGATTAAATTAAACCAGCAGCAGGACAGGACATGCCCAATGTGAATGGGAAATAGCAGCAATACAGCAGGGTTATTGACTACTCTATGTTGTTTCTTAAGCGAGACAACTGGGCAGAACTTACGTTGCATGGTTGATTTGAACTTTTCAGAACATCAGTCAGTAGCAGGGCCATGGGAGGACAAAGCAATAACTTTGTTTCAAAATTAGAGCAGAGAAACGCCTAAAAGTCGAAAAAATCTTGGGGTTTTCCTAGAGGTATGGATAATAATAAAACTAGGAAAACTAAGCTACAGTAATATGATTGCGACAAATTCCGGGAATAACAGGGGTGGAGAAGCCCCAACGAGATCAGCAGCAGTATATGTAATTTCTCCATCGGGGAAACCGAGAAAGGCGAGGAATTTCTCGATCGGGGACCCAGAGCGACAACAAAGACGCCCAATTTCTCCGGGGGCTGCCCACCGGCAGGAGGGGAGGATCGGGGAGTGACTGGAATCGAACGAATCGCAAGCTAGAACAAGGAGAAGAGGCGGGGAGAGGTACCGGCTGGGGTCTTCTTCTTGCCGAAGATGAAGCTCATGGCGGCGGGCGGGCGGGCGGGCGGGCGGGGGAGCAAGACGACGACTGGTTCCCTCAAATCCGGGCGGCGGCTGCGATTCGGGGACGGCGAGCCGCTGAAGAATCCTTCCTCCCTCGTCTGCGCTGCGCGTGGGATTGGGGATTGCGGGGTCTCTTTTGGGGATGGACGGGGGTTTGATTCGATGCGAAGGAAGGAAAGAAAGCCTTTGCTGCTGTTGGGTTCGTTTTTGCCGTAAACGCGGTTTGCCCAGCGGCAGCCGCGACGCGTTATGGTGCACTGGGGATTGCGACCTGATGATGCTTCTCTCCCTCCCTCCTGGTCAACGCATATTTTTCCACCAAAAAATATATATAGCCTCTGAATCATGGCATCTATTTTTAATTTAGCCTCTATTTTTTCCACCCAAAAAAAATGGGAGATGCTGGAGTCTCTCGAGTGAATACAAGCTATTGGCTAAACAGTGAGTAAGTAAAACATTTAGCCATTGGATTTTTTTATTTAAATTTTTTAAGAGAAAAAAAGAGGGATTTTTTTATTTTTTGAGCAGAACGAGTGGACTTGGTAGGCATCTGGACTGAGAAATGTTTCCGACGATGCGGTAAACGGGCCAGCCCACGTAAATGTGGAGGACTCACGTGGTTTTCTACTTGGGCCGGGAAGCCAACAACTTCAAAGCCAGCCCAGACGGTGTCAGTCAAGAGTCAACTACGTGAACACGTACTGGCTGTGTGTACTGATCTTCACGATCTCCGAAGAAAAATAGAACAAAACATGTTTTTTTTTCTTTACAGTACTACGATCCAGAGCCGCCATGCTTGGCATAACAAGAGTAGGGAAACTGCATGCTTAAATGAAGTTGTACAAATGATGAGAGGTGTTTATCTGAAAAGTTGTACAAATAATGATCGGCATGCATATGCATGCATGCGCCGCGTGCATGTTCCCGATCGGCCGGCCATCGCCAATTCGCCATTGCTCCGTCCAGCACTAGCTAGCTAGCTAGCTTGCTTAGTTTGTACAACAGAGTTGACTGTTTACTTTCAATCACAGCATCAGTAATCTACAAACAATGTCACAAAAAGGGTGTATATGGACGGTACATGCACGGTTCCTATATATCTGGAGTTTTGGAAATGTACATGCTATCAATATAAAACAAAATGTTTCAATGATTGAAAAATGCTACGAGTACGTAAATCAAAGTATCTAGGTTTGTGCATGTTACTATATAGTAGCATACTAGGATAGAGAAGGAAGAAACATTAATTGTGCAGTCACCAAGCCCAATCTAATGACAGAATTCACACGAGATAATGCTTGATGGGTGAGCAATCAAAGTACGGTTCAAAGGGTCTAAATAAACTATAATAGAACATTCGGTTAGATATCCTTTCTACGTTAATCACCAGAGTCGCATAAAAATCCCCTAATAACTCAAAAACAAGAGGCTACTACTGATGCTAGCATAGCATGTCACTCAAAGATCGTCCTTGGCTCCGATGCTCAGAAGTTTAGCCAGTTTCCCACTTTCGCAAGGCTCAACAGTACCTGCAAAATTTTCAAGTAAACATGAAAAAAAAAATAGGTGTGAGCATTCAAAGGATGTTACAAATAAGCCTCCATTTTATATGATGATTTGTGTACAGAAAATGTACCGTCAGTGCCCCCTGGCCCAAGGGCTTTCCATGGACAAAAACTTGAGGAACAGTGGGCCCGGGCCCAATTATGTCAAGTATGTCAGAGTCCCGCAAATGCTTTCCATGGACAAAAACTTGAGGAACACTACGCCGGCCAGTTATGTCAAATAAGGCATCCTGAATCTTCGAACCATCGTCTGCACGACAGAGGGTACACATTGTTGCATTACGGCATCATCACAAACTGTCCCAGAATATGCTCAAGGGCAAAAATCAACTTAACAAGTGGAAATTGTTCAATTTGCTATAATTGACTGTTTTGGTTTATTATTATGTAATGTAAAAAGGGAATAAACAGATAGGAAGAACAAGGGTGCACAGTGTTTTTTTAAGCGTGCACGGTGTTTTTTAGCTTAATGAGTTGATGTGGTCTTTGTAGCCTTTTGCGTGTTAGTTGTGGCCAGCGTGGTTGTGAGTTGCTTGGCTGAGGAAGTAGTGTTGGTTAGTCGGCTGTTTGTACCGGGCGCTGGTTCTTTGTGTTGCGACTTTGACTTGTAGGTAGTGGTTTTTTTGGTGGTTTGTGGTCAGTTGATGTGTAGGAGTTGTTTCCGGTGAGTTGTTGTATCCCTGGTTGCAGGGGTTTTAGGTCCAGTTCCCTAAAAACCTGAACAAACTTTTGTTTTATTTTCTTCTTCTAATATAAATCGCGGCAAAGCTTTTGCCATCCTTTCTAAAAAAAACAAAGGTGCAGCTAAAAGGCGGTCCTCTTGCTGATGTCTGCTGTCCTGTTTCCTCACTGATTTTGCCCTTTTGGTAATTATATCGTGGCTTTACTGTTTTATTTACTATATGTATCATGTCTTTCATTTACCATGAAACATCTCTTATAACATTGACTAACTTGAATAGTGCACATGAAACTTGGATGAGATGCATGGGTCCAAAGAAACAACAACACAGTAGTGCAATCTTATATCAGTTAAACGGTAATGCTCTGCCCATTATGTGCATATACTCTCCACTGTCTTCACAGACAGAGAGGAAGGATAAATCGTATATTGGCCTGACGACACTAACCATATTGGCACTGTGGCAGCAGTGAATAATGTTCAGAAGAATTGTGAAATGGAACAGAAATAAGGCTATGCCATCCTCAAGTTTGCTTATGTTTTCGGTTATCCACATTATATATAAATCAGAGGGCATCAAGAGGTATTTGCATTTGCTTATGGTTCAATATATGTAATTCATCAAGACGTATATGTGTTTGATTATATATTGTTCTATGTAATTCACATTATGACTTGAGAGACACTTGAAGACATTTGTGCTTACCTACGAGCCCATATATAGGACATCTCTAAGCAGAATGTCATTAAGAATACTCCCACATGGACACTTTACCTTTTCTTTTGGGGTTCAATATATTTATTTATTTATTTATTTATATTTTATAGTACCATTGCCTATGCAACTGAAAACAAATTATTCAATCTAGTTGTACAATTGCAAAAACTTGCTGGCTGAAAACACTGCGAAAGATGTATTTCATAACTCTACCCTAGCTATTTCAACAAAACTGTGTGACACTTCCACTCGGCCAAAAAAACATGGCTGAAGTAGCTAGGGGGCATATATAGAGCAACCACTCTAAAACAGTAAATTAGCGCAATACAAAAATGAGCGTAAAACAAACCTCGCTGATCAAGCTCTACGACATATGGCCCTTTCTTCAACTCAAGCTCCCTAATAAACACGTCCTTTGCTCTTTTGCAGTGCATGTGAAATTTTGTGCTCTCATCATAAGATAAAGAGTTTCTTATGTATACCAGACATGCATGTAAAATAAGGGCGAGAGGGGTCATATATACCTACGGGCAGTATGACTCGGAGAAGATGACAACGTCGTGGGCGGACACGGTGGACTTGACGAAGGACTTGGGCGACGACGATGACGACGCGAGGCCGCGAGGGCGATGAACGCAGCAGCAACTGCCACGAGGGCGACCAACGCAGCAGCAGCTGCCGCTGCCGCCGCCACCCCGACCCGCCGGCCGGCGACCATCGTACGTGATACCGCGGCCGCCGGTGAGGTCGAGTCGAGATGGATGCATGAGTACGTACGGAGACAAGGAGACGTTTTGAGAGAAGCCAAGAACTACAGCCTGTTCGGTTGGCTGGTTTATATCGTTGCTGGTTCATTTATATGAGAGAGAAATACTGCTGGTTGGTTCATTAGAACAGTGTCCATGTGAGGGAGTTGGCCAGCCCAGCCAACCAGCCAGCCCGCACTGGCCGGTTCTGAGTTTTGACTAGGTGTGGTGTGGCTCCCGTATCTTCTTTACATATGAATCCCACGCCCAAACCGTGGCCGACCGGCGTGCCATGTCACACCTTTTCGAGGCGAGGCCGTTCGATCGGATCTTGTGGACGGCCTAGATCGGGCAATCCATGCCATTTTACAGAAAACCCCTTATATTTTTTCAGAATCAACCGCGCTCCAGAGACCCTCTTAGAATATTTTGCAAAAACCACCTCAGATTATTTCCAAATCAATCAAGTAGTTCAGATAGGATGGGCTCCGAGTTTTTGCAAACAAGACCTTCTCTTTATCGAAAATCAACCCACGCTCCAGAGACCCTCTCAACAATTTTTGCGAAAACCTCCTCAGATTTTTCTCAAATCAAAATATAGGCCACCTTTGATTATATCTCTTTTTATAAAAAAAAAATAGCTTTTGCCTCTCACCTCCATCTCGCCCTCCCTTCTCTCTCTCTCTCCCTTCCCTGCTCATGCGGTGGCGGGTGCCAGCAGCAGCGCCCTGTCATTGCAGGCGGCGTGAGTGGGGGCGGGTGGCCCTCGGACGCCACGGACAGCTGACAATCAGTAGTAGCGAGGCGCAGCCGACAAGCGCAGGCCCCGAGCCCTACTACAGCCGCCGAACGCCATGGGCGA